AAAAAAAAAAAAAAAAAAAAAAAGGAAATTGGAGAATCAAGACCTTCAGTCAAACTCAAAAAACACCTTGAAAGAGAGTATTTTATGTCATTAAGATTTCAAGCCTGAAAGAGTGGCTGTTTAACAGAAATTCGGGTACTGTAAAGCCCTGGAAAACTCTACAGGCCTCAGCAGAATTATACCAGCTAACATCAGCTGCAGATATAGTAATTAATGCACAGACAACACACCCTGTTCTCGCACAAGAAATCATAGAACCACCATCCAGAGTTGCATGAACATGAGAAATCATTTCATGTCTGTTGTAGTACCCAAATCTTCTGTGTGATTCTTTCAAGCACCCATCCAAATTTGAACAAGTTGCTCCCCAGCACATGGATTCTTGCTGAATGCAAGTTCCTTGGAGTAAAGGAGCCCAGTCTACCTGCCCAAACCACACATCAGATCATTATGGACCTACCGCAGAAAAGCTAGTACAACCATTTTCATTCGTCTGAAACAGTTTATTGTCTTAGATCTCTATGAATATTAATCACAAAGTTTAATGAGCTCTGAAAATACTATCCCATTTGGTAACTGGAGAAATGGAGCACATTAGTCCCACAGACTAGCCAGACTACTAGTGAGAGCTCCTGCTGACACTTACAGTAGCTCCGAAATGAGTTCCACGTGCTGGGAAGATACGTGTGCTGGACTGAAGATCCTTGCTGCTGCTGGAGGGCTTGGTTTGGTGTCGATGGAGTTGTCTGCATCTGTGAGGGGCTGAGTTCCTGCTGAGACTGTTGTGAGGAAGGACTCAAAGGCTGACCCCCAACCTAGGAAGAAAAAAAGAAAAGGTGTAAGTGTTCTCAGTGTACTAAGGATTGCATACCTCTGTGCTGTTACAAACTTATCCTTCTTATTAATGGAAAACACAAGGCGGGGTTCTATAGCATATGGAGCACAAGAACTGCAGAGCTCTCCTCCCTGTCCTCCAAGTTGCTTCACTCTATGGTTAGGAAGCAGTGATCGGGAAACTGCAATAGAGATGTTGCTTGCTAAAGGTTACATAGAGAGTCTGTGGCAGAGAACTCACATTAAGAGGCTAAATACTACCCAACAGCATGAGGAGCTGAACTTCAAATATTTGAGGAATGCCAGTTTCCATTTACATCTTTCAATTGGCTGATTTTATTTAAGCTGAAAATTTGTTTGTTCCCAGTCATTTATCTCTACCTTGTATACACTGTTAGGAAAAAGACAAACCAAACCAAAAAACCCCAACAGAACACCCACACACACCCCAGGAACGTCTGGGAACTACTTGATGATTTCAGAGGCGTTCATGTGAGAGTCATTTCATGTGTGGTCCTTTAAATGACACAGGAAAGACTGTCTCCTGCATCAGCACCTGAGCAGGCTGGGAGGGAGGGCATTTCCTGCAAGAGAAGAGTGAAATACCTGTGACGATGACTGAGTTGCTGGCGATGGCTCTGTGACCTGGATGTGCTGCACCTGGATAGCGTGCTGGGTGTACGTCTGGGGGTCATGAAGCTGCCCAACGTCCACCGTGGAGTGCTGAGACTGGTGAGGTGAGGTGGCCTGGAAAAATAATTAAAAAAAAAAATTCAAAGCAGAGGCATATACTTCATATTCTTTGCAGAAGCAGCCACATAAACTTCTTCTGTGTTACAAGGTTTGGAACACTGAGATGTGAGCCTTAGTGAGGCCATGCAGCATGCCTTGTTCAAGCCTCTGTTTACCCTTTTCACACTCCTGGGAGATAAAGCAGCACATCTAACAGACGTAATGGCACTGAGATGGTTACATCTCTGTGATCTCAGTGGAAAGGACTTGCCTAAGGTAATACAAGCTGTCTGGGCAGCAGCTGGACTCAAATCAAAGGGTCTGAAAAACAGGATTAGTGTCAACCACTGAACCATCCTCCTTTGTAAGAATCTTTCTATAAAACGTGTACACACTCGAGATCTGCACATCCAATACTGCAGTTTGACACCGCTCTGTATCAAGACAAGTACTCAGAGTCTTACAGATTAAATGCTTTTTTTTTTGAGCAACACCTGCTTATGATGCCAGTTAGAGTAGTTTAATTGCAAGCCTGAGTCCTTGATAAAATTAATATTAGCTGCAGGAACCAGTTTTCATGCTCTTGCATTGTTAAAACAGCCACAGTCAATATTAACTGGGGCCATTGTTTAGGCCTTTACTAACCAAATTCATAACTTAATTTGTAACGAGGGGGCAGACAACACTGAGTTTCAGATTCAAATACAAACACGTGGTAGTTTCAGCTTCACCCTGTGGATGAGAGATTTGAAGGCTACAGCAATTTCTTACAGCTGCCTGAGTTATTTTCCTCAGTTCAGTTACTCTAGTTACATTTTGCTTTTATTTTTAGGAGGCTGTTGAGCATCACAGAGAGTGACTACTCCATTAGATGATATGAAGGGAAAAAGCAAACACTTTTCTGTACTTCCAAATTTTGGCTCTGGCTCACTGAGAACAAGGAAGTACAAATGAGTCTTCAACTGCAAAAATGGGTCACCCACTGACCCACTTTTCCAGTTGCTGCAAAACCTTCCTAGAGCAGATGAGCCAAGGTGCCCAGATGGGTAGAATGAAGTTAGGACTGTGTTGATATGTCTCCAGCAAGCTGGGCGAGACTGGCAGGACTATTTATGTCCAGTAAACGATGCTTACCACAGCAACCCTACGCATTAGCAATTTATCTGCAAAAAATAATCTGCACCACTTCTTGTAACTACTCCTTAACAAACTTCCAAGCGCTTACAGCCTCAAGAAACCACAGGCTTGATATGGAGGGGGTGAAAACCCAACAGGTTACTCACCTGGGCCACTTGAACAACCTGCAACTGTATGTGCTGAGGCTGCTGCAAGCCAGTTGTGGACTGAGAGACAGGGATGTACTGGATTCGTTGGTAGTCTCCCTGGGGAGTTCGATAGTCTGTCGTGAGGGTCTGGGAGATCTCCGTCATCGCCTGTGTCAGTAAATCTGTTGTCTGAGCAGGTAGAGAAGGAGAGATACAGACTGTCATCCCATATTGTCTACTGGATTGAATGCTTTTGCAGGGCTGTAGTTCTTTCATCACGCTGAATCTACACTTACACCATCGGGCCTAGTCATTTATTTACAAAAGCTTCATGTGTACAGAGGATGGGATCATAAGCAATCACATGGATCATCCACTAGGACTGCTCTCTTCTGTCTAAATGCTGGTCAGGACCATTAAGGGCTAACTTAACATACAATTAAAAAAATATTTTCATCTTCTGACTTAACAGTATTCCGTTAGACAACAAAAATCCTGCCTTTGTGAAGGGTTGACTTAATTTCCAAGTCAAAAAAGTGCTTCTCGGATGTATTCCACCTTTTCTCCTCATCTGCCAGAGGGATAATTTTCTTAGCAACTGTATTTCTGAAGTGTGTAAAGACATTTAGCACCGAACAAAGCGGTGTCAGCATCCTGGTTGACTCTGCCCATTTTCAAGCAAAACAGTCTTCTATCCAGTTACAGTCTTCAAATAGCAAGTTTTAAACCGTGGTTAATAAGATTCTTAAAACTATGCACCATCCCAGCACAGCTAAAGGACACAAGACTGATTTTCTAGTCTCAGCTTTCACTTCTGTAGCAGCTGAGGTATTAGCAGTGATTAATAACAGTGAGAGATCAGCCACTGGAGGTTTGTATCACTCAGTGCTGCACTGTCCAAAGGATTACAGAGAGATCTTGTCTTCTCTGAACAGAATTTGATCCAGTCCCCAGTCATGGTTGGACGTGTCCTCTTGATCCCAAGAACTGCAGGCACCTCAGGAGAACAGTCCCAGTGAAAACCCACAAGATGTGTATTAATTAGGCAGGTGTGAAAGTATTATGTGGAGTCAGTAGCATATGGGTCTGAGTGAAAGAAGGGAATGGAGCGGGGAAAAGAGACAAATCCTTAGAGCTCCAGAAAGAAATACATAATGCCTGGCAAAGCAAAACTACAACACAGATTCAGGAACAGAAGTGATCTCAAATAACATCCTAACAGACGCTTTAAAGCGATGTCTGCCAAATAAACACTAAGACTGCTATACCAGAGGGCTTCTGTTCTGTTTGTTTCCCTCCATTGGCCTGATCTAAGACATCTTGAATCCTTACCACAACAGTCTCGCCGGTGGTGCTGTCGGTGGTTAGAACAGCAGGAGTGGAGCTGATGACAGCCGTTGCCAGCGGAGCATGTATCGTGTTAGGGAGCTGAGCAAACTCTGGGTGCTTCTTGCGAATGTGTTGTACCATCTTTGTCTACAGAGAGATGCAAAAGAGCATTAGAAACATGGTCAGTAACCCCAACTGAAATCTAGCAGCCCTCTGGACTGTAGCTTTTATGTTTTCCTCAGTAAGGCAGCATCAAGATTCACAATATGGGATGCTCTGCTCAGCAAGAAGGTAACAAGGACCACAAAGCTGCTGCTGATTAGAGCTATGTGATACTGAAATACTGCCCCAAACATCACAGCCTGTAAGCTTTTTACCCCAACACAGCCAAATATTTTGGGGACCTCTTCCAGAGATCACCTTTTTTGCATTTTGTTTCCCTACCCCTCTCCCTTGTAACTGTCAGTGAGCAGTTTCAAAGCTTTTCCATTTGTGACCGCACTCGGGTAACACCTCCATTTCTTCTTTCAAGCTCACACCCTCTGTTAGGGAACTTTTTTACTATAAAACAAGTGGGCTCTGCCTGTATTGTCAACATGCAGCATGGAAACAGCACTCTGACTCAGAATAAAAGAGCTCTGCTTGCAGACCGACCGATGACAGAGACAGTGGTGAAAAAGCATTACCAGGGAGAGGCTGTTTTCTAAATCTAGGAGACAACCCCCCTACCTTACTGCTGTACTGCTTGGAACAGTGAGGGCAGCAGACTGGAGGGGTGGCTATGGTGCCTGTCAGCTGGGTGTGGGTGCTCAGCATGGGATCTGGCTCTCCGGGGCCCGCAGGGCGCAGTTTCCGGATGCTGGGGGGTAGCTCAGCACCAGGATGGTTCTTCAGGATGTGTGCTTTGCGTTTACTGGCGCTCTTGTACACCTGCAGGGTAGAGATTTGGAAGGAAAACTGAGTAATCCTGAAGCATGTGCAGAAAACAGTTACCAGTTATCTTTATCTGGAAGGTCTGCAGGTTGCTTTAGATAGTATCTTTAGTTAAATCTCCAAATAAGTGCAATGCATGAATATACCTACACCTTCCAGTGTTCATAATCAACCTGTAAAAGCAATTCCTTCTTGTGTAGCATGCAGAGGCCATTTGGGAACATGTTGTATGCCACAACAAAACATCAAAGCGGGACAGGAAGAGGAAAACCTTTTTTGCCTAATCCTTGGAGGCCGAATGTCAGAGAAGCTACCGATCACCGAAGTTGTAATTTGTCCAGTGTTAATTTGACATGAGGGTTGGTGCCTCCACTCTTGCACAGAGCATCAAACTGTTTTAAGGGTCTTCAGCGACCAACATATTTTTAAATTCTATTTAGGGATACCAACAAATGAATATTCTGTGATACTATTTAAAACATCAATTTCTTTTTTCCCCTTTAAACAAAAGAAAGGAGGCATCACAGAAGAATACACTGAGGATAAGGACAGTCAGAATACACTCCCTGGTAAATAAAGGCCCACATGCATAAAAAGCAAAGGCCAGGGAATAAGAACAGGAACCCAAAAGTAGTGCAGAAGCAGCTTCAAGCTCCACTGAACACTGGGAATTATTGGCATGTGACTAAGCACGCAGCTTAAAATAAAAGGGTTAGAGGCTAATGCTTAGAAGTGATACAGAAACCAAAAGAAATGAGTGTTCAGGAATTACAGACAGATAGGATACTTAGTCCTGGGCTACAAAAACTGATACAGGACTAAGGGTGAGTGACTGCTTGCTGGATCAGTATTTAAGTTTCCCAACTCCAAAAATAGCAGAAAAGGAGAACTGCAGTTTTCAATTAGCATTCATCTGCCTTGACCTAAGTGCATTTTGTCTTAATTTTTTTTGGACTGCAGGAATGTTGCTGGCAAGCACCTCAAAATAAAAAAAAAAAAATCTACAAACCCTGCCAGATGTCTCTATGCGGAGACAAATGGGTTGCATACAGGTCTAGGACTGAGCTACCCTCCAAGGAGTGACTTCCCTACATACCTTATCACAGTACTGACAGAAGTAATCTCTGTTGGGTTTGATGATGGGCAACGTGAGCTCTGGCACCTCTTCTATTTTCATGTCTGGATGTCTCTTTGATAAATGATTCACCTTAGGAGAAAGAAACACAGAGAACAAGAGAGCATATTACAGCTGGAAGCCAAGAAATTGCTTTTTCTCCTAGAGATGGGTAACAATCAAACCGAAACTTGCCAGCAGCACTGGGAGCATTTGCTGCTGCAAGGGTTAGTGCGTGTTTGCAGTCAGCTGCTGAAGGTAAACATGGTCTTGCTAGATCTCATTTAGAGTTCCTCTAATCAAAATAAGATGGGAAGAGGTAAAATAGCTTGCCAGAACTCTCTTGCAGCTGAGAGTGAGGTAAAGGGCCTCTGCCCAGGGAGGCCTTCGCTAGCAGAGATCACAACCCTCACGAAATATTTGCAAATGAGATTTCCTGCTGCATAACACCCTTTACGCGGTGGCAGTTACCAGGCATGGCCAGAAGAGGCCCCTCAAGAAGGGAGAGAAAAAAAAATAGGAAACACAGCCAGGAAAACTGAGGCAGTAAAGCTGAACTAGGCTATGTATTAATCTCATGTTCTGTTAAATACTTTACACATTAATCAGCATTACTTAGCGTTGAAATATGGTCGTGACAACCAGACAGACAACGCAGGCAGTGAAATATGTAAAGGCACACATCTGCTGAAGAGATAAGACACATGGGTTAAAAAACCACACATAATCTCAAGTCAGCTGTAAAATTCTCCCAGTTTCACAGCATCCTTGTGTTCCAGCCATTGGGATTCCATCTTTATTCCTCAACTACTCTTCAAAACTGAGTAGGGAAGTTGCAAGAGAAGCTAGAGTACACAGACACTCACCAACATCCCCCTCCGGCGGAAACCCATCATACAGAGTCGGCACTTGAACATGAAGCTTTCGTAGTCGGTGGAAGCTATCCGAGGCTTGAACGTTTTGGAGCGGCTGATTCGATCAGCTTTCTTGGCCTCTCTCTCTGGGTTGTGCATCCTCTGCATGTGCTCTCGCAGTTTGTCTTTCCTCTAGGGATAGAGCAATCGAGGAGAAAAATATCATCACCACTTACTGCCTTATACCCGTTACAAGGAAGAGCCACCATGTAAGTTGTTCAAAGATCTCTCTTTGGCTTTTCCTCTCCAGCACTGCCGTGAGATACAGTTGCGTGCTCAGCATTGGACAGCTCAGCAAGAACCCTTTGGGCTTAGGTTTATCCTTCAAACCAAAGTGAGGTTGCTCAGCCACGAAAGCAGGAGCCTAACTAATGCTAATTTAGCAGCATCTATGAGAATGAACCCTGCCACTCTGTTTTCTTCCTTTGAATTTATCTAAAATATTAGTGCTCAGTTCTGTACAGCTGGAAACTTGCATCAAATAATGCTCTTGACTGAGGAGGAACCTACTGCCCAGATGCAATCCAGCCTCTCTCTGGACACACACTGTCTAGAATGTGCTTCTTCACCCCAAAGTATCCAGTCCCTCAGTATCCCGTAAGAAGCTAAGCAACAAGGAGCAGGCTGTGCCACCACAGTCTACCTGGCTCCCCGTCTGCTCCATCTGTTCTGGTGGGATCTGGAAAGGCATCTGCATGTCATGCGCTGACAAGATGGAAGCCACGGACGCAGGCACCTTGGCCAGGAATATTATTAATCTGCTGATATCAGCAAGAAGTTTTCTTAACTGATATGAGCAATACAACCCAAGAACCTGGCAATTGAGCCGTATAATGACCCAGTTCTTAATGAGAAGATGGAAACTTCCTTTAATAGTAAATTATTAGAAATAAGATCTGATAGACGAGACACCTTGCTACAGCAGAGCATGCTGGGGTGGATCTTCCCCTTTGTCCCTCAGGAATGAACGTTGTAGCTCACATACAAAGCAGCACATGCGACTTGCAGACAAGTCTAGCATGTTTACACATTAGTTTCTTCCACCTTGGAGAACGTGAGCTTATCGACTTGAAGGAGGGTAAAGAGTGGTGTTCTCCACCTGTATGGGGAACGATCCAGTCGAGAGTCACCTCACCTTGAACTGCTTGCCACACGTGGAGCACAGGAAGTCTTTGCGGTCTGAGTGTCGCAACATATGGAGTCGCAGCTTGTCAGGACGGCAGAAAGCCTTGTCACATTCTGTACACTGGTAAATCTTTTCTGAATGGAAACTGCGTACGTGTTTCTTGACCTAGAATTGCAGATTGCAGAAAAACTGAATTTATTCAAAAGAAGAGTGTGTGATACAACAGTCTAGGAAATTCTTCGCAAAAAAGGATTAAGAGAGGAAGAACATTTTAAGAGGTCTCTAATCTGCTTTGGTTTAAAAAGTATTTTATCAGAACAAGTGATATCTTGACAATAAAGCCATAACATCATTATTATGCATCTGGATGGACAATTTGGTTTCCTAAAGACTGATTCTTGAAGGCATCAGCTCTTGCACAGTTGGGTGCTTAATGGGCAGCAAAAGCCCACAACATACCAGCTTTACTGAATCATCCTTGAGTTAACATGTTCATCTGAGGTCCATTATCTTTACTTCATCTATAAGAAATCTAAACAAGGGACTAATTCCTTTCAATCAGAGAGAACAAGCTTGCAATTATAACTGGTAAAAAAAAAATTGTGACAGAAAAGCATCTGCAAGCCATTCCTGAAGGGCAAGTACTTTTGCATAATTTGGGACTATCCTTAACGTCTTCAAGCATCTAGTGGTTGTGGGTTTTTTTTCCCCCTAATAAAGTAACTAATGAGCTTTGACATTTAAAATGGAAGCTCAAGAAATGGATCTCTAAATCTTTACCATCTTCTAATACTGATCATATGTGGAACAACTTGGTATCTTTATCTGTTCCACATCAAAATGTTTAAGTAGGCAGCAATCTATGGTGACTAGACTTAATTATTCACATAGCACCAAATGAAAAAATCTTCTTTAAATTTCAAAATAGAGCTGAATAGCTAGAAAAAAGCCATGGGACGTTCTTCTGACTTGATCAGTTTCACGGGAGAGTTTATGGGGAAGTAGGTTGAAGTACAGCATTTCTGAATCATCAACATTTTTCCTTGTTCAACATCTACAGAAGATAAAGGTTTTTGCCCAGGGGGAATTATATTAGTAAATCACTTTTCCCCATCCTTTCCTCTTTAGCCTATTGGATAGTCTATCAGTTCCTATTACTTGACTTAAACTGGATTTCTACATTTCAATTTAAGACAGGCAACTCAGCAAGACATATCAACCTCTTTGTCCCAATGAATGATAATGAGTATGTGCATGGTACATCTCAGTATTTTCTTACTGAAGATCGAAATAGCATCCTTAAATTCTATTAACAATCTTCTCCAACAGCTCTGCACACCACACAAAGTAGTTACATTACTCAGTACTCCAGTGCAACCTCTCCTAAGCTGAAGCCCAGGGGGGAAGTCAGGAAGCAGAGTATCCTGATCTGTTCTGGCATTTCTGCAAGGTGTTTAAATGACTTACCCTGACAAAAATCAGTCAAGGGAATAAAGATGTAAACCCACATTTTTTTGTGGTTCCAGATTTTTAATGACAAAGGACAAGGTGTATTCAAGTACAAGCAAAAGACAATTCCTTTTTGCACCATGGATCTGTACTGACCAAAAGGGACCTCTGCTTTAGGCATCTTCTAGGGATAAGGGACCACCCCTCTGGCAGTATGGTGCTTTGTAACGCCAGACTGAAGTACCACGTCTGATGATTTAGGGGAAAGAGCACTGCAGTGGCATAAGACAACATCTAGCAATGCTTGGTCACTCCTCCTTTTTAATTTCTGACAGCCATGGACCCCTTTATCTTGTGAGAATGAACTGACATGCAGCATCACATGAAAACAGTACTGAAAAATTCACAGAGTACTTGCAAGAGACCCAGAAGGCAGTGCTTCAAATCAGTGGGGCATCTCACCTGGATAAAATCCGGGAAGCGTTTTTTGCAGGTAGGGCAGGTGAAGTAGCCATCATTGACATGGATGGCCACGTGATCTTTGAGCAGATCCAAGCGGTCAAAGGACTCGGGACAGAAAATGCAGGAGTATGTTTTCTGGTCCATGTGGAACTTCATGTGGCTCTCCAGAGCACCACTGTTGATGAAGCCCTTGTTGCAGATGTCACAAGTCAGAGGGCAGTTCCCTTCCCGTCCGTGAAACCGCAAGTGCTGATCCAGTTTGTCCTTCTCGCGGAAGGCCTTCCCACACTGCAGGCATTTGAACGGGCGGAAGGATTTCCGTATGAATAGGTGCTGAAGAGCGGCATTCTGAGAGAAACATCGAAGAGACCGTTACCTTTCATTAGGACGTATCGATTCCACATACAAATATTTTCAAGATCAAATATACCAGATGATCACTGAAGCTAAACTTCAAAAAAATGCTTTTGCGTTCTAGATACTTATGTCTCCATTTTACAGAAGAGGAGGCTGAAGTAAGGGATATACCTGCAGCTACACACCGAGTTAGGAGAACACAATGCAGGAGTTTCCCCTCCAGTCCCTGTTTTCTGCCAGTTTAGCTAACTTTTTTTTTTACTCTCTGAAGTACAGACCTGGGCCTCAGAAGAGCTGCAATTCCTGCTGATTTTTGGGGATTGGGTCACCAGTTCAACCACCATACAAAGGAACATCTTTCACGCAGGAGCAGGGCTTATGAAATTCAACAGCCCTTTACAAAAAATCAGCTTCTGCACCAAAGATCACCACAGAGGTGTGCAGCGGTGGTTTAGCATTGCCTGGAAAACTTCCAGCAGAACACACATTCAGGAGATGCTGGCCTAAACCTTTTTGTTATTTTCAAAAAGATTATTTTCAAAACATTACAGCAGGGGCAGAATGGTAGGTAAGAACTTGTGAGCAATTCGCCGGTCTTTGCCATTTAGCATATATCATGTGTGAGAGCCTGAAAATGAAGAAGATAGATGGAAAACAAACATACTGGTGCTAAATCAGGAGGAACCCTGATAGACTGTTGTCTGCTCAAAGTGTTGTTGGTTACACACAGTCAAACTTGAAATTGCTTTTCTAGGTATTGCAAGGCACTAAGAATATTGTGAATTGAACACGTGTTGTGCAAATATTAATTTTAAAATTTAATATACTGGGCTCTTCTCTATTTTTCTTCATGCCTACTGTGCACAACTTCTTAGCCCCTGCTTTGTTTTGATGAGTGCTTTCCTTCAGTCTACCTTTTCTGTAACATTTCATGACTGATACCTCTTCCCTTTCTCCCCTTCAGATAAGTGTTACAGAGCCATCCCAGTCCTGATACCGGCACTGTCTGCTGGAGGAACAGATGCTGCTGGACGTGTTGCCTGTAGAAACAGGCAAGTGTCCCCTGCACCTGCATTTCAATATTGGATGAGAACTTTTACGTTGGACAGCTGCAAAGCTGGAAGTCAGACGTATCTCTGCAAGCATGAAATTCCACAGCACACTATCACCCATACTGTGCTGAAAGCACACTGCAATACTGCCATATCTCCACAAGAAGCCTACGGAATACTAACTCTTCTCCAAAGTAAGATCTATGCGCTGTCGTTTATTGATGTCTTCTCTTTTCAGATGTTACACACAGATTCTACATCATGACAGTTAGAAAAATAGCACTAGAACATTGCTGGCACCTATGCTTGCATACATTCAGTATTACATACTTCTCCACGAGCTATGTTCAAGACTTCTGCAAACAGATTTCCCTGGTTTCCTCTCTCCTTTTCCTGTGGGAATGTCTGGGCTGACATTTGCTGTGTCCCTTAAGTGTGTGCCAACAGCTGACACTGAGAAAGTAAAGTTAGGAGCTCTTCTGCTGCACTGAGGGAACAGCTTGGGAATACTGTGAAATGCTATGCTAGAGATTAAATTAGTGAACCTGAATGATCCTTTTCACTGTCTGAACTGCAGAGGGAAACCTATACTTTCATTCCAGAGAAAGGAACATGAAAGCAACTGTTTTGCTAAGAAAAAAGCTAACAGTTTAATAAAGGAGCCCCAAATGAGTCCTCCCATGAATTGTCATCTCCATTCCCCATTTTGAAGTGGAGACAATGGGAAATAACACGGATCTGCTGTTAAGTCATACTGTTGGTTGGACAGACAGACATGTGCTGTATGAAAATTAATGTGTTACTTGGAGTCAGAAGTATATCATTTTCCCCCTAACTACAGGTATACACTAATAAACCAAATAGTTGAAGAGATCCACTTCAAGTTCTTAACTCCACTATTGCTGTACTTTGCTATTTGATCACTGGTAATATACCAGGACTGGTAGGATAGCAGGCCAGACTTCTATACCATGTAAATCTACATAGTCCCGTTGCTATCTCAAAGGCTACAGAAGGGTGAAACGTTTTACTACTCTTTGGTTAGATAAGCTATCAACTATAAAAACAGAAAAAGAGAACTAAGTGTTGTCTCGTTAACTGATAACATTGATCCAGTGCAAACAATTGCACAAACAAATCCTCCAAAGCTTTAAGATGGTTATTACACATTTCATCCAAGCAGACTACTCCTGTAATATTCACTATTCAATTTGCAATTAATTAGTATGAAAAGAACTAGAGGAATGCAAATTGTTATTCAGATAACACTCCATTCTGGACATTGGTTGCTTAAAGAACAACAAGTGTGACAATTTACAAGGCGGGCTCAATCAGGAAACACTAAACAGAAGTTGGACAAAACAACACAGAAGGCGATGTTGTTACGTACCATTCGATCAGATACAGCAAAAACCCAACGAAACAAAAAACCAAACCAAACCTACCTGCAGCTCCAGCTGAGCAGGCAGCATTGAGGGAGAGAAAAATACTTATGTTATGCAATGGACTTTAAAACAGAAGCCTTGACTTCTGCAATAGTCACGCTTCTGCGGGTCACTACAAGGGTCAGCTCTTCTAGCTAGAGTTTACTCTTTACTTAGGCAAAACTCCTTTGAGGTTTTTGCCTCAGGAAACACTAAGCAGATCTTCAAGGTTTACCCTGTAGTTAATAACTGCCCAAGGGGAGTTAAAGGGCAGAGATAAAGACCACAGATAATCTTGAAGGTGTTTTGCGACCTTTCATGTTTTCTCAGAGTTGATTAATAATGATGTAATGCGTACTGCAGAGCCACAGTGAGAATGAAATGCTTTTAGCAGAAGGGAATAATTAGGGCAGGATGACAACAGGGCAAGGATTAGAAGAGTGAAAAAGTTAAAGAGTAGGGACTTTTTTAACCTCATTGTACTGTTTGTACTCTGTTATACAGCCAGTTGCATTTCTTTCAGCATGAAGTGACTCTGCTTTCCAAATCATATTCCTGTCCCTGCCAGTTCCTTCCGATGAGTAAAGCAGTCACCTACACAAAGGACATTTTAGGATCAGGTCTGTACGTAAAAGAAAAAAAAAAACCAACAACAAGTAATTTGGAAATGTAGATGTTTCTGGGATCTGCCCATAGATGCTCTGGACACTGCCCAGAACTGAACTGAAAACAAATATTCTTTTTGGCTGTGGACCAAACAGTCCTCTAACTTGTTACAAGAGTATCTTGAAGGGTGGGTGTATCTCTTTCCAGTACTAAGGACATGACTGCTGTATTTAAAGTCTGATCTCCAAGGAAACTCCACAGGCTCTAAAGCAGAGGCTGAAAAATGAACTGATCCTATCAGGAACTGAACCCCAGGTCACCAGAGATCAGTGCTTCCACCGAGAATGAAAGCACTCTGAGCATCACTGCCTTAAACCTTAGAAAAAGTTGAAGCAACTCACACAGAATTACTAGTTTTGAAAATTAAATCCTACATGAGTAATAATGAACTAGAGCTGCACAGGTCTCCAGATCATCATGAGTCAAGACTTTCTACCTGTTCTTTGGAAGTGAACGATGTACTGCACATCTTAAAACCAAATGTTTGCTTGCTTATAATATTAAGTGCATCTTATTGTTAAGAAGGTGCTGTGAATAGCTGAACTGAATGAGTGCTCATAGGGTGCTAGAGCTTGCTGTGATTTTCCAGTGCTTAAAAAAAAAATAATAATAATGCTTGCGAGTTCACTCTTATCTCAAGCCCTCATTGCTCACAGTCTGACGCAGTATGGAAAGGTGCTGTGCAACCATCCATCTGCCATTCTGCCCCTATCTTGAAACATCTCCAGGACTCTGCTGAACGCGAGCTGCCAGACGTACGGGAAGTTGGGGAGATTTGGAGAGACAAACGTGTCGCCAAGGACTAAACCACCACTGCACCCCTCCTAGTTGTCATCCATTTGTGACAAATTTCTATGGAACAAAAGCTAAGTCGCAAGATGAAGAAGTAACTTCAGAATTTCTGTCCCTTTCTTCCCACATTTACTCCTTAAGATGATCTTAAGTTCACATCTTGGGTTCAAAAGTTCAGGAAAACAGGCTACACCACCTCTTCCCATCACACTCAGGCCTCAACTTTCTAGCAAGGAAGCTGTGGTATATCGTAAGCAGTAAATACCCGTGTTCTTTACTGTCAAAAACTCAGCATCTGTCTTTGGACTCTGTTATCCACCCTTCAACACATCCAGTAAAAATCCCCCAAGCTTTTAACATACGAAAAATCAAATTACTTGTCATTCAGAGTGCAAACATTTTATATGGTTAAAAATTCTGCAGTCTTTATGTGCCTGAGCCAAATTCTTCCTTCCAGATATGCCACTGCATTTATGGGGTAACACCACCACTGGTCTTGTATATATATTGCTATAAACTGAGAGCACAATTTGGCTCAGCATCACCCTATACAGAACAGTTACTCAACCCTTTTCTAATCCTTTCTCATCCCCTAAAAATGAAGTCTTACCCCAACTGCAGCTGTTCCTTTCTGTAATCAAAATTTTACACATGGAAGAAAAAGAAAAAGATTTTAGACTAAATAAACCAATCTCACGGTTACACGGCTTGAAGGATTATTTGCTTGAATCATTTCCCTCCCACACATAGTAGAGAAAAAACAGCTCACCCAGTTGACACAAAGCTCAGGCTCAAAGTGTTTGCTGTCGGTACACAAAGCTCTTAGCACAGGTTTTAATCTCACAAAGACAGGCAGGTTTTTCTACCCCAAGAAAGGATTTTATCACTAAATATCATCATCAAAGTGGATCTAAACTGAGGTCGTGGTTCCTCTTTGGCAACTGTTTGCGAGAGAAGAGTTCTGAGAGACACAGATGGTGCTGTGAACAAGTCATTAGTCTGTGCCACAGTACCACGTTCAGCCGGCTGTCTGAAGCACTCCTGCTTGCCAGCTTGGATGGACTGTGTTTCTATGAAAGAATCACTGTTCTGGAATTGAACCTGCTCCAATTGGTGACCAGTTCTCACTAGCACCTCACGAGATACTAGTGCTTTACACAAGATTTGTCTTCCTTTCAGTGCAAATAAAATTGTTAGGAGCGAGATGCTTTATTCAGGATTTGGAAATGGATACGACAGTGAGAGAAAGAGACCAGCTGGTCCTGGCAGGCAGGTCCGGCGTTCTCTGGGTTACAGCAAATGGAGAGGGTGAGAGAAGACGTGATCTGCTGTCCTCTTTGCTTACCCTGATACGCTTGGCTCGCCTCATGTCATCTGCTGTCATGGTGCTCTGCGTAGGCACCGCGCTCTCATCGTGCTGCGGCTGGAGCTGTAGCGGGTGGCTGTCTGACTGCTGCTCCAGTGCCGACTGCGTCTCTGATGGCACTGGAGTCTGCTCCTGCTGCTCCAACCCATTCAGTGTGGCTTGGCCGGCCTCATCAAACTGCCCCTTGCTGGAAAAATGCAGCAAGTCCTGAAATCGCAAATCATACAACCAGTGATTATTCCCCCCACCCACTGAAAAATGCTTTGATAATACTCAGCAGAAAACAAGATTTCTACATACTTAAATCACAAGCTATAAACAAAATGTGTCTACACTAACACTTTCCTACTGCGTCCCACTGATGCTCACAGCAGATCACCTACAGTAACAACATCCAGAGCGCCAGGGAGGAAGCGCTGCAGGTGGGCGACTCTTGTGGCCACCGGATTGTCACATCGGACACAGACAATCCAAATGACCCAGCTGTTAACAGCCGGGCAAGTTCTTCTGCACTCATGACTACAACTGCTTTAACCAAATGTGATGTAGGCTGACCTGTGAGAAATTATACATCCAAAGTGACTAGCACAGACCAGGGGGGGCAGAGAATTCCTGTCTTGTTGAAATTGTTGTCACTTTGAAACATTATCATGTATTGTTATGCAGCGTCTTCTCCTTTCCGACAAACTAGCCGGAGTGCTGAACTAGAGAGTGATAAACGAGATGATTATACACTGCACTGTGTGTTTTACTACCCAGTTTCCAAGCTCTGTGTACTCTCATCTACCCAGCTGTATACATTACTTACATTTCTCACACAAAGCTGGTTTCCTCCTTTTTTGCATTAGCATAAAAGGGAAGGTGTTGGGAGCAGGAAGCACATGCCAAACAGATACATTCTTTTCATGGAAGTTGCAATAACTCCTCTGGGATGGAATCCTCTTGTATTACAAAAAAAACCCCAGAGATCCTTACTTAGTATCACTTAACACAACTAAGGAAACTTAATTACTCAGGTGCGTCCAGAGAAGGGCAACGGAGCTGGGGCAGGGTCTGGAGCACAGGTCTGCTGGGGAGCGGCTGGGGGAACTGGGGGGGTTCAGTCTGGAGAAGAGGAGGCTGAGGGGAGACCTCCTGGCCCTCTGCAACTCCCTGCCAGGAGGGGGCAGAGAGGGGGGATGAGTCTCTGGAGCCAAGGAGCCAGCGCCAGGCCCCGAGGGAATGGCCTCAAGCTGCCCAGGGCAGGGTCAGGCTGGCTCTGAGGAAGGATTTCTGTGCAGAAGGGGCTGTTGGGCGTTGGGATGGGCTGCCCAGGGCAGGGGGGGAGTCCCCATCCCTGGAGGGGTTGGAGAGTCGGGCTGAGCCAGCGCTGAGGGATCTGGGGGAGTTGGGAACGGTCAGGGTGAGGGTCATGGTTGGACTGGAGGAGCTTCAAGGGCTTTTCCAACACAGATGATTCTGGAATTCTGTAAAGTACAAGCTAGGAAACAGAGTGCCAAAACGGTATCAGTCTGGTACTGTAAAAGTGCAAAAGCAGGTGTGGGAGAATAAACACTGAGGTGCCAGCAGGAGTGCAAACCATGAATGTTTACCACAGACACTTAGCAGAGCCATCTACCAGCCAAATGTCCCATCCTGGTCTAAGTGGTGAGTTTCCACAGTTGCTGACACTAAACTGTGCTCACAGCACCCTGAGTCTCAAGTTCTCAGGCAGATGAACTCACGTCTAGTCTTTGGCAAGGCAGGCAGGTCTCCAAAGGCCTGGGACATAACCCTGGCCCTGCTCAACATTAGAGACACAAGGGAGCTAGCTGTGGGCCATGCTCCCGGCGGGCAGGATGCAATCCACCTCCCATCAGAGACCAGACACATCAGCATGGGACTGCACCCAGTAAGTCCTGTCTCTCTGGAGTTCAGAGTTTGGGAACAGCATTATGCTTACTTGTCTAAATGGAGCTGGCTTGTGTCATGTCAGCTTGAAATGAGGGTGATCTCTCAATTGCCTGCGCTTAATGCAACATTTAAGACAATCCTGCAGGCTCAGAAAACAAGCACAGACACTCGTAGGCAACATATACATTCCTCCCTCTGAGTCAGCACTGAACCATGACCCAGTGAGATGGCAGAGGAAAATTACCACCCCAGGTATCAGCTTTCAGCTAAGTCATGAAACAGAGGCACTGATCCCTTCTGACACCTTTCATAAAAGGATTTGGTGGTAACCTAAGCATGGTCAGCATCAGAGAGAATTTAGCATTTTACTTATGATGCATCATATTAGGTCCCTATAGAATATAACCAACAGCTACAAGCAAAAGAACATTTTGCAGTGAGCATGCCTACAAGAGGCCCTTTTGTTAATATTAAAACATCATAAAGAATCATAGCTCAAACTGATTTAATTCTACCAGCAAGTTATAAGAGCAGGCTCTGACCTCACATTCCAGAAAGGACAAATATGAACCTAAATTCCCATTACAGTTTTACTGTCTATATTACTTTTGTGATGCTGCTAAACTGCTGCAATAACCTGTCTCACAGCTAAGTGCTTTGGGATGAAAGTTGCTGTAGAAATGCAAGAGATTTTAGATTTTTCCTATAAGGAAAGTAGTGTGCTCCCCTGGCAGAGAATCCCAGCTAGAAAACCAAGAATTACTTGGGTATAAGTCCAAAGCTCACCCACAATTTGCACTGATGCCCCAAAATTCTTTTAGGCAAGAGTTTACATCCCATGTGATTTTTTTTTTTTCCCTTTCCTCCATCCCCCAAAATATACCTGTGTCCCTTCTTCACACTTTTCCCCATTTTCACTGGTTACTTCCATACGCATGAATTTGGGAGGGCGCCCCGGGCGTCTGCCTGGTCCAAACCTCCTCTTTCCACGCCCACGACCTCGGCCTCTGGCTCTGCAGAATACATAGTGCTCCAGGTTAGAGACAAGAAAAGATGGATTTGGAATCTCCACTGATTTTATGCATTCTTTCTCAGCACCACTATTCACCCATTCAGCTCAGTAACAATGCTCTGCAGTAAATAATAAAACCTGAATAAATTCTGGCAGAAAAAAAATAGGGTACTTGCTAGTATCTATTTATTTTGTGCTCTATGAAAAATTAAAGTCCACAACACATTAATATTTATTTTGGTAACTGTGGGACCAAGAGGACTACTGGATTCTAGCAAGCCCTCTGCCACGGCAACTCTACTTCCAACACCCCAGTCTACGGTGTGCTGGAAAGCATTTTCAGCTAGATGGAACAGTGCACAAGGAAAACAATTTAAAACCCAAAGCCATAGCATCCCTCCCCAAAAAGGCACTTAGCCATTGATGTCAGCAGTAAACTGAAAGGAACAATTTTCTGTGTCAAAAAACAAACAAAATGCAGCCACTTGCTAAGTTTCAGAAAAAAGAAGGCACCAATGTCTTCTGCTCTCTGATGGATGTTTGTAGATTCAGCTTTTAATGGGTCAGAATAAACTATCTTGCCAGCCTACTGAGGAGCCAAAGCACTGGAAGTCTTGTTCTCCAAGCTCTGTATCTGCACACATCTGAGAAGCACCAGTATTTCAGTATCGTGGTACCCAAATATTGTAATTTTTTAAGTCATGGGCAAAAAACCAAATGCAAACCAAAAAAAAATCTCACCAGTTTCAATGGGGATTTTATTTCCCTCAAGCTATTTCTTTTGCAAAGTCCCTTAGGCCAAGAAGCTTCCTGGTGCCACATTCTTACCTTGAGGTGCTGAGCCTTTCTCTCGTGGGTACCCAAGTTGGTCAATAAGATCTGTGGGGCAAAGACCCTCCTTTCTGCAAGTTTGGGGAAGAGCCACAGTGATACACAGACACAGCTAAAGCTTTCAGTACCTGCTGAAGAAGTCCAGCTTCTCATCGTGGGAGTTGAGATGCTGCTGGAGTTGCTCTGAGCTCATGAAACGACGATTGCACTCGTAACACGGCCAGTTCTTCTCTTGCTCTCTGAGAACTATGTTCAGTTGGAAATGTCAATAACAGCATTTCAGTCACCACCAATTAAACGCCTCATTTTTCTTCCCCAAGCCTTTCTGTCCTCTGTGGGCCGTATTTCTTTCCTGAAGGTTAGGCAGACTGCAAATACCCAGCACTGCTCCATTTAGCTTTGCTTTTATCCCCTCTGCACCGTGGCATGACTAGAGCTCTTCATAAAAAGACAAAAAAGTCACTGGGGACTATAAACATGGCTTAAAATTCAGGGAGTTTGGGAAATCTACCCTTCTATGGATGAGCACTTGCAGGATTCTGTCTCTGGCATGAGTTAGGGGAGGTCAAGAGAAATTTCTCTATCTAAAGCAGTAGCACATCGGTTTATGACACAGGCATTAGACATCAAGTACAGAAACATACCTCTTTCCAGCAACAACTTAATGCTTCCCCAGAAACTGAGGCAAAAGGTTAAATTAGTGTGATATTAGCATGAGAAGTTAGTAGAAGTAAGTCCCAATAATAAAATCTAGATCTGGTTTTACTTAACCTAGCAGAAATTTGGGCGCACTATACAGGCCATATACTTGAAACTAAGTACAACACCCAGCACCATCACACAGCAAAAACTGAGAGCAGAAAAGCCCAAGTTACCCTTCCTTTCCTCCTCAGATATGTCATGGATCTTCTGGTTCACAAACTCTGCATAAGAGGCAGCATACCACACCTGCAACAGGAATACAACATAACAGAACACTTAGATGGAACCAAAACTAGAGGGAATTCATTTGAAAATGGTTTTTAAGCAATACATTTACTTCACTTGCCTCAACCACTAACTCTTATTGCTCCTTTCATCCTCAATAATAAAGCTTGTTGAGATCAATATGCCCCCACTGAGGAATAAAAGAGCTTTGCTCAGAAAGCATATCCATTTAATTTTAAGGCACAGCCTCCTATTATGAATGTTAATCTCACACATGGCTACCAGTAGCTCTGAAGGAAGTAAGATTAATCTCTTTAGACCTGACTGTATGATGGTAAAGGATGGGTGTCAGCAGAGTACTGTTACTGGTTGTACCAAGAGGAATGGAAAAGTAGTTAACTCGGGGGATTTCCCATTTTTTCCTGCTTTCTTTATGTAGACAATAGGCAGCCCTGTCCACAGAGACTCATTTTAAGTGTTTCTGAACTTCTGAAGGATTGAAGCAATATGGTCCTGCTTCCCAAAAGAAAGATCTGCCAGGCTGCAGCATGATGGATCCAGTTTCATTACACAAAGGATTTAGGAAGCCTTCAGCAGAGAGAACCACAGGAGGCAGAAAGACAAAGTTTATAAGAGCCTAAAATCAGATGCTCACATTTAGCTGAGAATTCTGGTATCATTTCTCATTTTATCTGTTTGATTAAAAAGGTTCAGTTTTAGAAAAGATTTCTCAAAGAAGGCATGAACAGATTTTCAGCATGAAAAATCTGGGCAAGTTTAAACTTGTACTGGGCCACAAGCGTTTTTGTAGCAGTGGTGAGTGGGATTTCTACTTCCTGCAAAGACTCCCCAGCAGGTACGTGTTACTTTGCAGGAATTTCCCTGGCTGGACAAAGAAGAAAGCCTGGAGCTCCCAGACTACTCACCTGTCACACAGTATGAAGCTTTCAACTTTGACTGATCCTCCTAGTTCAAACTTTGGATAAAACTCATATGAATGCCCTACATCCACTTGGGGAGGAAAACACATTACAGAGCCTAGGTAATCCGCTTTCAATTATCAAGTCAACTTTACCCCAAAAGATGCTATTAATACATAAAGCCAGAAAAATGGTGCTTCTGCAGGCAGGTCTGTACAGATTTAATTAAAGTCTGATTTCAGATTGATTTAAAAACTTGAGAAAATGATGTTTGGATACACTTAAAATGGATTAACAAGGTTTCTAGTGATTCAGCTTAAACAAATTAAAGAAACCAAAAAGAATCCGACTCTTAAAAATCAGCAACAAGTGTATCAGCAGGCTTTGCTCTGGTTTAGCTAAGTGTGTTTAAAACCCTTTTTTGGGGGTTTAAATCATTGAAGTTTATGTGCAAGAAAAGATGTGAAGAACAACAAACAATTTCCTGATATCAAAGTTTTTTGGTTACCCCCAGTTCCCCAAAGGATGTTGAAAAATGAAGGCCATCTCAGCCAGCCACGCTGCTTTGAGCTCAAAGTAATCAACACATTTTGAGAGGGAACAAAAAGTAACTCACAGGGAAGCCACAATATCCTTTATCATTTTCCACATGCAAAGTTTCAAAAGTTCCAGGAAAGCCAGGTAAAGTGAGAGACCATATTCACTTAAGGCACCAGAAAACAAGTCAAGGGCACACAGGACTAACTGGAAAGGGCATCCAGAACTAAAAAGAATACGACTGCTGCAATAAAAATTAGATTGCATCAGCAAAATATATGCAGTGTAAAGCATGACAGTGACAGACAAATAATTTACATACTCTTATTCTAAACTTCCTGATTTTATACCTGAGCCAAAGCTCATTTAAAATCTCTAAGTTGCTGGTTAACTACTTACTGACTTCAGTGACATTTGATTCAGGCCATCATGTGCTTTATCAGACAAAAAACCCTCTTAAAACTATTTACAACAATCATTTCTGGTGAGATGCACTTATTAGGTAGCAGCTCTAAGATTTGATTTAATCAGCAGAAAAATGAGTCACAAAACACAAACAATGCCATACCTTGAGTTCCTGCTTGGGCTCCACGTTTTTAATGGTTGTGTAATAAATATGGTGGCCGTACTGATACGCTACCAGGTTCTGCTCCAAATGGTTTTGAGCTGGACGCACAAACATCATCCAGTTACAAAGAGCCTCACTAGAAAGTTCAAACCACAGGTCCTCTTGCAAATCTCTGTCTTTTCTGTCACCCTTATCAAGAGAAACCTGTAGAAAAATCCAATTACATGTGACTGCCTGGCAGCAGGTTCAAAAGAATTTGAGTTTCTGAAAAAAAAAAAGAAAAGAAAAAAAGAAAAACCCAAACTAACTACTGTGCCCACACAACTTTTAGGAAACCAATGAATTAGGAAAGCAATGAAGGCATAATTAATTTTCTCTTTACTAACAGGGATCCAGAAACAGGCAGCACTTAAAAAAATACTTAAAAACAGGCAGAGATTTAACTATGGAGACACAATGGACCCTTCCATGGTTTTCAAGGGCAAGAAGCATTCATTAAAAGGCTCAGGCAAAGTCCTTGACGTGTGGCTATAAATGAGGCCCAAGAAGCTGCAGCTTTAGTCAGCTATAGGGCATCAGCTGTCAGATGTTTCTAACTGGCAGACCCACTTCTCCTTTCCTTTCTTCTCATGACACTGCCTCAAGCTGGAAGCAGCCCTTCTTTAGCTGAACTTCTCTTGGGTTACTGAATCTGTCTGCGGTCACAACTTCCTTGTCAGACACTGACCATCAGAGCCCAGTGCTCCTAAGACTGTGGGCCTAATCTCCAGCAAATAAAGGACCAATTCCTGTAATGAAACCAGTAAATAAATGGGTAAAGGTCAGTCAAACCCAGTATACCTCCCGCCAATGACTTGGCATGCGGAAGGGGAGAAAAAAATCTCTCCTCTCTCCTACATCTTGTGGCGGAGAGGAGGGAAAGGGGAAGAAAAATATTTTTAACTTAAGTTACAGCATGACATAAAATAACGGTTGCAAAACATCCTCAGATGAGGCTGCTATATTTATGTCCAGATGCTGCTTCAGCCCATGTGAGAGTGATTCACAGCATTCCACGTTATGAGTCCTATACATCACAACACCATAATGCCAGAATATTCACCACCATTATTGTGTCTCCCTGAATAACAGTAGATTTCAATCTGGGTATTTCCGAGTTACATTCAGAGATGGAAGTAACAAAAGAACACCTCCAGTGAACTGACTGAGGCAGAGCGACACACTCATGAAAAATCAAAGCTTAAGCACAAATTGATCCCTCCTCTTCTCTCGCATGCACACCCTTACCTTCAAATGGATATAGCAGTCTTTGAGTTCGGTTTGTCTAACCAGGGGTCCTTCCACAGGTCCAAACTGTGTGCGTTTGGGGATACGCCTTTTGGAGAACACACCTCCCAAAAACCTGTCTATATAGAGCACCAAGGGGAGGCTGGCTCTCGCCCTGGTCAGCACAGGCCGGTTGGGGATTGGATGCAAAGGTCCGTGTTTTGGACACACAGAGGGATGTGCGTTATTACACTCTTCACACCCTACAACACAAAGTCAGAGAGGACATGACTGTCAGGCAGACACTCACGCACCAGCTTGGAAGAGACAGCCTTATCTCTCTCTAAACATCTCTGGCTCAGCTGTGGGAACATTTATTCCAATAGTCTGTCTACATTTTAAAACAGTAGACAGGGCAGCCTCCTGCAACACAGCTCTGAGACTCCACCTAAGACAGAAGTTTGTCTTTTCAGTAAGGCAGCTCAATATCAGTCTATGTTCCTGGGTGTAAAGGGGTTTACTTATTACTGCTAAAATCTGAATGGGTTTTGGCTCCATTTACTAGAGGGCTGATAGAGGGGAAAGATAAAAGAGCAGGGCATCTACACTACATGCTATGTTGTATGCTTACACAAATCATTGGGATCAAAGGGTCGAGGTGGATCTGGATCCCATTCATCCATGTCAGTGTCTTCCCCATCTTCATCCTCATCTTCATCCTCATCATCTTCCTCTTTTGTTTCCATCCTTCCCATCTGATTCTGCAGAGGTGCTAAAGGGTCAGAACCATCCACTGCCTCCATAGGAGGTAACACCTGGTTATGCACCGGTAACGATGCCTGAGGAGAGAAATCACAAATGAACAATCAAAATTGATTCAGGGAGAAAAACACTCTTAAAGATGAGCAATGAAGGTTTGTGCTAGTCTACCCTTTCTGCTTCCTTTGGTAATGGAAAGAAGGACAAGGGAAAGTGAAGCGACATGATAAATGATTGCTGAGGGATGTTTTGCATGGCTGCTGCTGACAGCCTCACTCAGGACAGCTCTGTGTCACTCTCAAGGGCTGACTTCTCGGGAGAAAAAAACGGTATCAGAGTAGTTATGGACCGTCACAGAAGGGCTGAAACAAAATCCAGGCTCTGTGGAAATTATCCAGAGCCTAAGGCTGTATTTTATCAACTTCCATGCAAGTGAGAGAATCCGGCACTTTGGCACGTGATCTTTTCTCTCCTATCATACAATCAAACACAATCCCCAGAGCACACACGTAGAGATCAATAAGGGATGAGATAACACAGGGACCAGATATAAACTATGGGACACGGAGGACAGTTGAGGACATTGTATTCTTTTGCTAATTTTAAAGTTTATCCCTTTCTTTCCCTACCAAAAAAAAAAAAAAAAAAAGAAAAAAATGACAGAATATTGCATCACCCACACAGGTTTCTCAGGTAGAGAACAAGAAATATTACACACAGTAAAGCTGTCTGAGAAGACTGGCAAAGAGACCCAGTGGATGTTGGTCCTACGTGACAGCCAGCATTACACCTTCTGTTAACTTTGCTTTTCAAAGCTGAGAAGAGTATTTTAAGGTGGCTGCTCAAGACAGAACTATCTGCAGAACAGGTTTCTCTGTATATTAAATACACGATCTCTCCTAAAAAACCCACACATTCCATGGCGAGACTATGAAAGATGGTACAAATCTGCACTACAGCTTTCTCACATCTCCTCCCGTACCGCTCAGACGCATTTCATCACCCGAGACAATGGAGCAATGAAATCAGTGTACTCGTACAGTTAAAAGAAAAGGGTGCCTGGCAACTTACTCTATCTGCTTGCGGACCCTGCTCCAGAGCCATTTGCTGGGGGGATTCGGCAACGTTGCCGAGCACGGACAGGTTGGTGGGATTCATGCTCTGAGCAGCAGCAGGCAAGAGCACAGTTACCTAAAATTATAGGCACTCATTTTAGCACTGCGGCATTTCCATCAGTCACATACGGGCAGTGCCCTGCATGCAAAGCTCCCTGGAGTCCTATGCTAGGTCAAAAATTGCAGCATTTTAATTTTACTCTTTTTTTTCGGTAAGGATGATGGACTTGGACAAAACCTGTAGATGCGGGGACAAAGGGAAAAGCTTCAAAACTCAGTCTAGATTTTGCAACTTCTGATTTACCCATCTCCCACTTTTGGCTTTAAATTAGGGTCCTATCCAGCCTGGGTTCAAACTGCACTAAAAACAGATGTGAGGAGCACTTTATCTCTTGGTACAACCAATGATTTGGGGTCTTTTTCTCTTCTATGCCCAAATTTGTGTTTTTTTTCAGGGAAAAGGTAAAGGAAAAAGTAACATCTCCTCTTTTTGCCTATCTTTCTTTTTCTGAAGCAAACCAAGATCCATTATAAAAACAAAATGGTGTATTGACCTCATTGGAAGATCAAGCACTCAAATGAAAGGACTCCAGCTATTATTTTTTCTTTACATTATTTGGTCACACTATAAATTTTCATTTTTGTACTCCTTTTTTTGTGTAACAGGAAAATGAATGCGTATTACCATACTACTCCTATCCATTCAGCAATAAAACAAGGCAGAATTAAGATCCTAGGAATCACCTTTCCTGTCTTTGCTTCCTGCTTATCTATACAGGAGTTTGCACTGTTATCCCACATGAGTTTTCATCCTTCTCTACAGCTGACATCATGTGGCTTTAGTTTGTGCCTCTGACTGTTAAGCAGCTTTTATTCAAAAATTAAAGCCCCCGCCCCTCTATGAAGTGCCGAAAAATATCAGATAAATCTGAGAACAGCTAATTGTCCCAACAGTGAAGGAGCAGGCAAGAAAATCCCTAACATAAGGACATAGTCTTAGAACTTCAAATCTAGCTGTTCTGTTTAAAGAGGTATTAAGAGTAATTTATGAAACTGCTTTGAAACTACAGCAAAAAGACTTCAGGGGACCATGTGACAGTGAGCAGGAAACTGCCAAGACAACAGCTGAACCAAGCTGTCTGGTATTGACATTTCTGATGCCAAGTGGCAACAGAAAAGGCATCATTATTCAATGGCACACCTCCAGGTCTGCCAGCAATGAGAGGTTCACACAAGCTTGTGTCTATTTGTACCTCATATTAGCATTTCCTACTACTAATCACACTTCAAACATATCCTTGCTTTCACTTCCACGTCAGACACTGCAAGGAATACAGGCCTTATTTTCAAAAACCTTTCAATTTCTTTTTAAAATAAAGTTTCTTCTGAAAGACAAGAGGAGTTTTGATTATTATTTTAATATTTGTTGTCAGTTCAGGGATGTCCCATGTGAAATGCTGACATAAAACCACCTGCAAAGGCAGGAGCTGCCACAATGAGGGACTAACCCTTCACGAGCAAATGAACATCTCTGCTGGGATGGCTGTCGGACAGTGCTGGAAGGAAGGACGGGCTGAGGACACACAGATAAGTGCTCATGACCCTGATACTTGACATGGGATAGTACAGCAGGCCACCTCTGCTGTCAGTGTCTTTTGCACTGCACATGTAAGTGATCTCTACTTTTAATTAGATCATATATTTATTTGTTAAGTGAGCTTTAAGGCAGTTAAATAGGACTTTTCAGCTTCTCAAGGCAAGAAAACCAATGTGGCAAAAAATTCCAGAATGACACTCCAAACACCTCCAGTGAGCTGAAAGAAAACAGGTAACACCTTTACTGTGTCAGTCATATCATTTCCTGCCTGTGCCTCAACAGTTTAGGTCTGCTTTTAGCAAGAAGAAAATTTATTTTCAGTGCACATTCAACCCTTCGCTCTGCCCCAAGACTGTCAATAAATACGCATTTTAATGATGGCATTAGTAACGATTCAGGTCTAACACGTCCATTCACACATGCCATTAAAGACTGACCAAGCAGTAATGATTTTAAGCCTCTATGACAAGCACAGAATTTGAACTAGAGCTCTAGATCTGAAAGCACCTATACCCAACTACCACAGTGCAGTCCCCAAAGATACTGATAAAAGTTAACAACAAAACCACTTCACCCATGGCAGATGGAAAAATGAAAAATCGTCAGAAGTTTATGAACACGGGCTCCCATTTTATTCTGTTCCTAGCCCACTTCACACTGGCAAGCACACCAGACCTGGGATGCCATGGTAAGGCAACGAGCCAGTAATTGAACTTCTTTAGGTTTTACAATTAATTTCCTGTGAAGTTTCTAGTAAACATAGAATTTGATCCAAAGTTTGTATCTCTCAAGAGTCTTTTATGGACTTAAAGGCATTTGGATCAGAATCTGTATGAGGACAACTGCAAACCCAGTCTTTCCAGAATGACATGTTAAAATCAAGTCAGCCACATCAGCTTGCTGACTTGACGGGACACTGTTTTTCGATTTTTCAATATATCTGGGACAGTAAGTTAGTATTTTTGTTGAATGTGAATTAAAAAGAAAAAACTCAAGCTCTCTTTTATTGTCATTCATGTACAAGCTAGCCAAGATAACAGTGGCTTGTTATCATAAGTGTTTTGCCCTTGATCCCTGGGATGACAGTACATAGCTGAAGACTGCAGTTCGACAAGTTCAGAGACAGCTTATTACGCTCTAGCACCACAACAAAGGCCCTTTACCTTTGGTAACAGTTTCCTTACAGTTTCAGGCCCAAGGAAAATAATGTCTTTTTCTTACCTGCTGGGTGGTGGCATCCTGTTGGACGTAAGCCACTTGGGACGGATCTGTAAACAGAGTCTAGACAAAGTGAAAAAGGCTTAACAAACCGGCCTTGGGGTTGTTTACTCCCAACTCACACAAAAATTACCCTGCCACCACGAAATGCATACTGGATCCTTTGGTAACTTGGAATGTGCCTACTACCACAGCAGACTAATTCAACTTACCCATGTGAACCTACAAGCAGAGAGGTTAAACTAAAATTAGGTAGTATTCCATAAAAAGATAGTATCATATTTATGTGGCACTTTTTTTATCTACATAAAGTGCTTCACAGGATTTTTTTTTTTTAAATACAGAAATTACTTTGTCAATTGCTGATTTAATAAATTCTTCAGAATAAAATTCAATAGCTGGATGAAAGCCAAGTAATACTTGAGGGCAGGACAGAAGATGACTATTAACTTTATATTTCTGCAAAATCACAGGAGAGTTCCTCAAAAGAAAGCATGCAGATGTCAGGCATATCCTACATGTAAATTTGATAAGGCAAGGATGTTGTTTTTTTAATTTCATAGAAGACATGCCAACTCCAATATTCTTACAGTAGCCTGCAAGAACACCCCTGATGGGAGTGCTTCCCCTTTGGAAAGGCAAGAGTCAGATAAAAACTGAGTGAGGTCAGCCTTGCTTACTTTGCCAAAACTTGAAATATCTGAGCTTGTAAGTCTGGCTCCAACAGAATAACGCATGGCATAATACAAATTCCACTAGTGCTTCGATAATTTCATCTCAGTTGCATGAGAGTGTCTTAATACTACACCTCTTTTTTTACAAAATGGTAGTATTCAGAGCTGTAGAGTTATTTGGTCAGTAACTTCCTGGGAGATATCCTCTCAAAATATCTTGTTCTCTCAGAACACCCCACCACACAGGAATTGTTTTTACATAACAGCTAAGAGAGAGACCACGCTGCATGAGGCTGTGCCAGAGTTGCTGCGGGTGTCAAGTACATGCACTTTGTAGCATTGCTAATCTGTCCTGTCAGCAAAGACATCATAAAACAGTCTCAACAAAGCATGCCTGTTCCTTTTTGTTATCTGTCCACACAGAGGTAGAGATGCATACTATATTAACCCCATATAAACACATGCTGTCAGGGAATAAAAGCTATTTGATATAATTATGAAGAAGAAAAAGAAGCTAGGTCTATAAAATCAACAATTTCTCTGAAGACTACCAAATTAGATTGAATACACCAAGATCCTCTGCAAAAAGACACGATTGTTATTGTAACTATCAATTATGAAAACTGCACTATGCAAAACAAGGACTCTTCCACAAGACATATAGATCACTCTTCGCCTTTTACTGAGTACAACGGAGGCAGATTTTCTAGAGAGATTATCTGTGTTTTGGAAAACACCTTTGATTTAATTATAATCTCATCCACCTTCAGTGAAATAACCAGCATTTTATAATTCACAGCCTAGACATCCTTCGATTACCACATTTACACATCCGACAAATGAACAGCATGAAGTCCCTGTTCGGCAATGGGCAGAGAAAAGTGTTAAGTGCAACTGCCTGCTATTTTCCAGTCATATCACTTGGCTGGTAACTGGCTTTCATCTCAAACAAGATTGTTTTGTTTTCTAGGTGCCAAAAAGGGGCGGGCTCAGGACCACACATGCCTGCGTAGCTTCCACGGGATGGATGTAAACGAGTGTGTGCTCTGAGGTGTCCACCGAGGTGTAGGAGGTGCCATCGGCCGTGTAGACCACCTGCTGCGAGGGACGGTCCTGCTCATCACTGTAGACAATCTGTGCCACCGTCCCCCCCTCAGGGACAAAGTGCACCTGGAAGAAAAGAACAGATCCTGGACTGATCTTCTGCAGTCATAACACCTATGGGAAACGCCAAAAAACTCGTCGGTTGTGGAGGCGCCTTGGCAGGCAGAGTACCTTGTGCCCAAACTATCTAGCCAATTGTTTTGAAAATACACATTTAAAATTGCATCTGAATTACGCCAGCAACATAGAAATCTGGACATAAGAACTACCATCGGGTTCTGGTTTTACTCTGCATTTTAACTCAAGACCTAACTGGTATAAAGGGCACCTTCTTGGATCATCCTTTGAAAAATCGTAACAGAAAGGAAGCTCAGATATGAACTAGTGTATCTATGGGATTTATTGGTATATTGTTTCCCTTTATTCTCATATTCCTTTCTGGATTTACGGTAATTACTTCATTCAGCTAGTTCTGTAGTTGGGGGCAATTTTGTCTGTTCGATGAGGGACTAACAAAACCTATTAACTTTGATACTGCTTCAAGTAATAGCATTGCACCTATCACAAGGAAGCAATAGTGTATGTTAGATTGCTTCTCTGTAGTATGTACTTGCAGTATCAGTAGAAAATCCAACTATCTAAACAGAGAAACATATAACTGAAAACATTAAGCAATGATTCCAAGAACTACTGGAACAAGCTATGTCTAGGGCAGCAGTTTAAATCCAAACAAGTTGATTTTGACAGAACATTATGATCATAAATGATGAACGGTGGCCTACCTTCAACAAGCTAGAATACTTAATTCCAGTGGCAATAGGAAAACATTCACCTTCTGACACCCTTTATGTGCTGAAAACTATTTTCAGCACACAGGAAGAACGGGACAGTTAGCCGGAAACCTAGTTTTAAGATCCATATTCATATAAAATATTTCCACATAAGCGATCCCACAGTTACATATGTTATTTACCTTGTTTCACCTTTTAGCTTATGTTTCAGAAGACACCTGGTACTCCCCCATGGATGCCAAGTGCTGATTCTGTACAGTAAATCCTCATGCAAACACTACAGTAAGGATACATGCAGTGTTTCACATTTGGAGAGCACTCTGCAAACACTATTTAAGCCTTATAACTGCCATGCGCAAACAAGAGTATGGTTATCCCATTGTACAGATAACAGAACACAGGGCATTGAAAAGGGCCTTTCTTTGCAAATTTTAAAGCTGGAAATTACCAGGAGCATCAGAATTTTTCGGCTTGTGGGTCAAATGACATGCAGCACCCTCTTCGTAACATAGTCAAAAGTAAATCAGTTTACAGTCTTCTAGAAATTCTCAGCTGCATTGTCTCAGAGACAGAGGGACTGGCTGCGTAGATCAGAATCTGACTGTATTAGTCACTAACAATTAACATTTCTCCCTTCACCACTACCCAGATGTCTGACTGGAAAAAATTATTCATATTACTTTCTCCAAGGTCCACCCACAGTTCCAACTGATTCGACTGATGCCATCAAAACGGGCCTCCAGAGACCACAGATTTTGTTAATAGTCATTAATCTGAATACCCTTTCACTTTCCCACATGGCTATACATATATTTGGACAGGGAAATTTCTATAGCCGCTGCCTGGTTTCGTTTAGCATTTCAGATGTCTGCGTATTCACTGCTGCGGTTTGCACGGCTCACTTTTGGAAGCTTCAATCAGAAATCACCACAGACATGTTTGTATGCCCCTCAAATGAAAGCTGAGTTTCCAGACTCTAAGAAAGGGTTGAATGTGAATGCCTGCTTGCTAAGCCACTGCACCCAGCCAGGTCAGTCTGAGCGGAACCCGAGAGCTTTGGAAGGCACTAGTCACCTGCGTGCTATTCTGCTCCGGCTCAGCAGAGTCAGCCCACACCTGAGGACTTTCCTCTTTGGAGTCCATCTCCTCCCTGCTGTGGTGCTCCATGAGGAGAGGGATCTACTGGAGGAATGTCTGGCTGAATAGATTCATCTGTTCACTGTGCTTCTACTTCCAAGAGACAAGGTGATCTTCAGTAACATGACTATAAAGAAAAAAAAAAAAAAAGAGGAGATACTAAAACAAGTGTGACACGTAGAATGGAGGTATGAGGTACTATCATCAGATACAGCTCTACAGGAACACATTGCCAACGTAAAGCAGGCTTGGCGTTATGAACACGTACATTCTCATTTACCATACTCGAGTTCTGCTATATAACACTTTCCATGTCCTATTAATGGGGAAACAAGTCAACCATTGCTACAATTGCACTGAAAGATGACAATTAATTCCTCCTGCACTGCTTTCCCTGGACACAGACAGTTCACAAAATATTCTTCCAATTGTCCTTCAAGCACCTCCAGGACCAGAAATCAATAAACGATGCAGAAAATTGGCTTTAAGATTCCAGCAAGGCAATGGTACCTTCAGAGATGCACCACCAGTTTCTCAGTTTTTCCAAACGAGGTTTTGTTTGAGAACCAACTGGCTTTACATCTACAGGCAGCTTTCACCTTGTGCAAAACTGCAGTCCCAGTTGCTATTCAGGCAGTGTTATAATAGCCAACTTTTAGAAAAAGAACAATGAAACTTAAAACTCTAATTCATGCGAGCCCAAAGATCCTGACAAATTGCTTCCAAGCTAGGTTTTATTCACCTCTTGCAGTTTTACTGGGGCCTCTCAATCTGCCATTGGGAATCTCAGAAGCGTAATTTACAGCTCCAGTGATTGGTTTAGTCAGTGGTTCAGCACCTTCCCAGTCCTTCGTCTCTAATGCCATATTAAATCACAGGCCCAAGAATTAGCATGAGGCTGAGCCCATTCCATTTTTCAGCTAGTCCAATTAACTTTATTTTATACCGAGTGCCTCGCTGGGCTGATCCAAAGCCAGTACCCTGTCTGTGCACTAGGAAGAAAGCAGAAGGTTCCTTGCTGACGCTTTCATTCATTTGCATTTTAAATGCAAATTATTTTAGTCATAATTTATTCCCATAAATGCTAGCAGTTGGCTTGTCATTGACAAACTAAAAAAAGATTGGGGG